GTACAAGACTCGAACTGCGATCAACTACATGGGAGTCCAGCGACATAGTAATTATGCTAACTGCTGGTCCCAGACTCTACAGTTCTTGACAATGTTAAGTGGTATAATATTATTTGAAGGTAGACTGTGATAAAGATATAAACTCTAGAGCAACCATTAAAAGAAAAAAGAAAGTGCTGTCCCCTAACACAGTGGTTAGGTGCTGAATAGAGTGAATTGGAGGATCCCAAATGGCCAATAAGAGTTTGAGTCTCCATCCCGTTAGCTTTAAAGACATGCTAGATAAAGCCCTATGTGGCCAGGATCCTGATGAAATGGAGAATTGGAGGAAAAAAAGATTGCATGACCAGGCCCCATTGGAGGGTACTTTGGGTTTTCCCTTTCTATCTTTGTCTTTCTTTCATCCTTCTCACTTGTGTACATGTGCATGTGCCACACCCTCTGACAGAAAGAAAGAGGAAAAGGAAAAAGAAAAGGAAAAGAAAGAAAAAGAAAGAAAGACCAATAGAACTAGTACACAAAAGGTGGGGATAAAATAGAATTACAAATTATGGTCAATCCAAAAGAAGGCCAGAAAAGCAGAATAGTAATAGTGGAACAAATAGAAAACAATAAGCAATAGGGTAGATTTAAATCCAACCAGTCCAGTAACTAAATTAAATGTGAATGGTCCTTATGCCCTAGTTAAAATACAGAAATAATCGGGGCCAGGAGGTGATGTGATGGCTAATGTGCTGGTTCCCACATGGTGGACTCTGTGGTTCCAGTCCTAGGTCCAGTGCCTTGAAAAGCATGCCAGGCACGTGTATGCATGCAGAAGATTCCAAGAAATAGAGGAGAAGGGATTGCGGTGTAACCATTCCCCCAGGGGGTGACTTTTCACTTTCTCTCTCTCTCTCTCTCTCTGGCTGTCTCTCTGTCTCTCTCCCATAAGTGCATGCCACATGCCCTGTGGCAAAATCTAAAACAAATAAAAACAACCTATCAGGTTGGATAAAAAGTAAGACTTAAGTGTTGTCTACAAGAAACCTACTTTAAATATAAAAACATAAATGGGTTAAAGGTAAAGGAATGAAAGAAGGTTTACCATGCAAGCACTGTGTTAATAGCAGACAAAGTAGACTTCAGAACAAGAAGGAATACTAGCAGAGGTACACCATATAAAGAAAAAGGGGTGGGGAACCAGCAGTTAGCGTAATGGCTATGTCGCTGGACTCCCACGTGGTCGATCGTGGTTCGCGTCCTGGACCCGGTGGCTTGGAACTCACGTCGGGCGCGTGTGCGTGCGTGCCCAAGATCCCGAGAGGAGAATGGAGGAGAAGGGATTGCGGCGTGACCATCCCCCCTGGGGGGTGATTTCTCGCTTTCTGTCTCTATGTCTCTCTCTGTCTGTCTGGCGAGCGCACGCGCCCTATAGCAAAAATCTCTCCAAAAAAAAAAAAAAAGAAAAAAAGGGGTCAGTTTACCAGGAAGACCTAACAGCCCCAAATGTATATACACTGACAGCAGAGCTTCAAAACACATGAAACAAACGTGATAGGGCTGCAAGGAGAAATAGACAAATTCACAATCGTAATTAGATAAATCAGTACTTCCTTCTCAGTAATTGATATAATAAATAAATAGAAAATTTGTATTGATATAAAAGACCCAAATATTATTACCAACCTACTTGATCTAGTTGACATTTATAGGACATTCCACCCAGAAACATCAGTGCACATAGAATATTCACTGAGATAGAACATATTTGAGGGCATAAAACAAATCTCAACTAACAAATTTAACAAACAAAAAAAATTTTTTTTGAGATTTTTGTGCTCGCTGGAGAGAGACAGAGAGAAGAAATGTGAGAAATCACCCTCCAGGGAGGGCACATGCCCCGTAGCAACCATCTCCCCTAAATAAATAAATAAATAAACTTTAAAGAAAGAGAAAGAAGAAAGAGGGAGAGATGAAAAAAGGAAGAGAAAGGGAATTGGTGAGTTTGTTTGGAGACCTCTGGTCCAGATTCTGGCTTGTCATCCAGACCACCTAGAAAGCCCTGTAGAAGGCCCGTGGTTAAACCCTGAGATCAGTATGTCACAAGACTCTCAGCTACTTTTATTGATCAGCTGTGTTTAGGAATTGCTCCTTGCTGATACTAACTATTGCTATATGCCAGAAATCGCCCAATAGTGAAATGTCAGCTTTTAGCATATACTAGAAAGGGGGGATAATTCTGTGTATCTCATGCATGTGTAAGCCCTATCTACTTTTTCATCGGTGTTTTTTTCATTCTTAGAGTGTGTATGTGTGTGTGTGTGTGTGTGTCTCTTAAGGGATTTTTGCCTTAGGGTACATACGCTCACTGGAGAAAGAGAGACAGACAGTGAGAGTGAAAGTGAAAAATCACTGCCTGGGGGGGAGGATGACCATGCCACAGTCCCTTCTCCATTCTCCTCTCAGACTCTTGGACATGCACGCATGTGCACACACACATACACGCACCCAGATTGATTTTGAAGCCATCCAGTGGGACTCAAACCATATTCGGCCATGTGGGAGTCCAGTGACATAGCCACTAGGCCATCTGCTAGCCCTAGAAATGTGTTTTTGACAGGTATGTTTCTGCTCTTTAAATATTTTTTGGTCAAAGAAGAGGTACGAGATTGACACATGAAATTGCCAATATTCAACTATGTTTAACCAACAAAGTAGACAATTCATATTGCTAACCAGTTTTTTCATGAGAAAAAATAAGTTTATGTTTAAACTCTGTAAAGATATTTATACACACACATGCATTTATATTTATCATTGCATATTTTTTAAGAATTATTTTATTTTAACCTTGTTAATTTATTTTAATTTGACCAGAGAGGGACCGAGAGAGAGTGAGAGAAAGCGAGAAAGCAAGCCGCCAGGTCTGGGACTCAAACCATGTGGGAGTCCATATAAACATTAATTGTTCAAGAGTACACCAACTTCTAATGAGTCTAGTGGAAATATACTCTAGTACATAAATGCTACTGAAATGCATTTATGCCAGGTTAGGCCAGGACCATTGCCAAACAAGCATCTCATGTGTCTGGGACACTGAGTGGCAATACTGGCAGCTGCTGGCTGCTGCACTGCTTTTGATTCTGGATAAATCATTTATTCATCTCAAGCAGTTTGCTGGTACCAACTCCTTTGCAATACGCTTATTTTGTACACAGGTTCGTTTCTTCAATATGTGCCTATGGGCTTTGTTTTTCCTTTGTCAGATTTTAAGCTCCTCTGGGAATTCTGGGATTAAAATTTTGTTCACAGGGGCCAGGAGGCGGTGCAGCAGTAATGCAATGAGCTGCACACTGGCAAGGCCCGTGGTTAGGGTCCTGAGGACTCCCTGAGTATACTGAGCATGTGCGTTTGCCCATGATCCAGGCAGGCTGAGACTGGGCTGGGGGGAATCGTGAAGTGAAAAGCCTTTTGGGTCTATCCGTGCCTCACTCATGGAAAAAAAAAAGAATAAACTTAAAACAAAATTGTGCTCACAGAGTGTAGATGTAGATATACAAACTGATTTTCGTAGTATAGTGAATAAATTTTTGAAGAGAGACATAAAAAATAGAAAACAGGGACCAGCAGTTAGCATAATGGCTATGTCGCTGGACTCCCATGTAGTCGACTGCGGTTTGCGTCCCGGACCCGGTGGCTTAAAACTCACGCTGGGCGCGTGTGTGTGCGTGCCCAAGATCCCGAGAGGAGAATGGAGGAGAAGGGACTGCGGCGTGGCCATCCCCCCTGAGGGGTGATTTCTCTCTTTCTGTCTCTCTGTCTCTCTCTGCCTGTCTGGTGAGCGCACACGCCCTATAGCAAAAACCTCTAAAAAAAATAAAAAATAGAAAACATACAGTGATAGATTAAAATCTTATTTTAAAATATGCAATGATGAGGCTGGCAGGTGACATAGTGGTAAGGCACTGGACTAACCGTGGTTTGAGCCCCAGACCTGACAGGTTGAAAATCATGCCAGGCACATGTGCATGCATGCCTAAAATCCCAAGAAGACAATGACACAGAAGGGACCGTGACATGGCCTTCCCGCTTAGGGAGTGATTCCTCACTTTCCTTCTCTCTGTCTCTTTCTGTCTTTCTCTAGCAAGCACACACACTCTGTGGCAAAAGGGGGAGGTATGTGTTTGCATCTTCTGGATTTACTAACATTGTGGTTTTTGAAACAATTTGCTAAAAAATTATGATGTTAAGATTTTAGTGACAAATATTTATTTAGGGACAGGGCTGTTTTCAGAATTCTACTGTGTTACTATCTGGCCACATAGTCCAGGCTGTGCCAGAACATGAAACAAAAGTAATCATAGGTTGTTGATTCTCCATGGCGATCAGGAATAAGGCTGATGTGAATAAATAAAATTCTACTAGTAATCCCCAAAACATCATTTAGCCATTAGCTTCAAAGTTCCTTTCTATTAAGACCTTTCTGTAACAGCTACTAAATATCAAAATTGGCAAGGTTATAAGACTTAGTGTTCTCTTTCCACCTTTTGATGGGTGTTACTGTCTACATATGTAAAGTCAGACAGCACATGTAAGAACAAAGTTCAGGGCCAGCTTATGGCATGGTGGTTAAGGGCGCTGGACTTCCACATGGCTGACTGCGGTTCAAGTCCCGGACCTGGCAGCTAGCTTTCTCACTTTCTCTCTCCTTCTTTCTCTGTCTCTGGTCAAATTAAAAAATAAATTGAGTTAAATAAAATAATTCTTTTTTAAAAAATTCAGGAGGCTACTTAATTCACAGAATGAATAATCAGCCTAAATATTCAGGGTTGGCTCTGATTCGGTCAGCAAACCCCATAGAATGAGGACCATGTTTAGGAGGACTAATATGAGTTGAAAGCCAGGTCACTTTAGGAATGGAATTATGGCTTGACTGCCATGTGAGAAGGGCATCTACTGAAAGTGCACTTCATGTATCTGCTTGTTTAAAAAATAACACATAACACTCTCCGTTACAGGTGATCACCTTCTTTAGCTCAAGATTGTTACAGGCTGGAGCTGAGCTGTCTGTGGAGAGGGTCCTGGAAATCATCAAGCAAGGTGTTGTCGCACTGCCCAAAGACAGGCTGAAGGTAAGCTGGCTAAGGGAAATGTCCTGCGAAACTTCACTGCCATGGCACTTGATATTAATGTTAGTGTCTGCACAGGCTCTATTCAGAATCATATCAATCACCCAGGACTAACACCGAAAGACTAAATGTTGCCAACCCCATCCACAGACTGATACTCAGAACTGTGTTGATAAAGGATTCTGACAAGTGTTCAAAAGAAAATAGCAAAAGGGAGTAGGGGGTCTAATATCTTTACCACTTCATGTTCTATGATTAAATTCATATACTGTTATTAATGGAGCAAACTCAGACGTTTAAGAGTCATCCAGGGTAGATGGGAAGATGGTGGTGGTGGTGACGATAACTGCAATAGCAGTTCCTTACGTAGTGTTTGCTCAGTTCTACACGGGCTTGGGAGTGTCTTCTGTATCATCTTATTCAGTCTCCACAGCAACCCTTTGAAGTAGGTAGTGCTGTCATGCTAATTTTTTTAGAGGAGGAATCTGATCTACATCAGATTCCAAAGTTTGATGTCCAAAGTCAAAGAGCCTGAAAATGATGGAGCCAGAGAGATTCAAACCTAGGAAGTTTGACTCTAAAACCAATACTCATAATCACCACACCATTTACTATATGCCCATAGTAATGGAAAGAGAGGCATTTCATGGAAGTGGTATAGGAAGTACTATCTTTTTAAGAAGGCCTGGGAACCAGCAGTTAGCGTAATGGCTATGTCGCTGGACTCCCACGTAGTCGACCGTGGTTTGTGTCCCGGACCCGGTGGCTTAAAACTCACGCTGGGCGTGTGTGCGTGCGTGCCCAAGATCCCGAGAGGAGAATGGAGGAGAAGGGATTGCGGCGTGACCATCCCCCCTGGGGGGTGATTTCTCGCTTTCTGTCTCTAATGTCTCTCTCTGTCTGTCTGGCGAGTGCACTATAGTAAAAATCTCTCAAAAAAAAAAAAAAAAAAAAAAAGAAGGCCTTTGTATTTATATGACAGATGTATTCCTGAAGTGATCTCATCATATAAAACTCATACCTCAACAGTAATCATCCTATAGGAAATGATGTAAAGGGAATATTTTTGGACATATATGAATGAGTAGCACTCTAACCTATTTTTACACTACTACTTTTTTCATTTTTTTTCCTTCCTTAGCTCTTGTTTTCTAGAGAGCTTTATCCTACATTAACAGCACAGGATGTCATAGTGAATGTTTGGCCTTCGTCATGGTGTTTTATCACAACTGACTTCTGTTCCAAAGTGACTGTTTTGCAGGCTGTTTTTCAGAGCTATCACTAGAACCACTGCTTAATGAATGTTTGGGAGATATTGTTGTAGGACATGAAAATATTTTCAGTTATAATAATGGTTTGTAAAATAACAGCACATGAGTCATTGAATCACAGAACAGAAGTCGCACAGAGCATAAACAGTAGTGAGAGTCTCACAGTATGGGCAAAGACGGTAGGTGTTTCTATTTACCAACGGCAGTGGCACCCCCACGTGGTGGTTAGTGTGCACCAGACCCTCTGGCTTTGACATTCTGTCCCTGACAGTTTTTTTAGATGTAAATAATTGATATTATTCCCATCCTAATGCAAAGTAAGACATTGGTTCGTTGGTTTGTTTTTGTTTTTTTGTTTTGTTTTGTTTTGTTTTTTTTGCACAATATGAAATTTACTGAACCACCATGAAGATTAGAGTGGCTGCTCTCAGGAAGTGGTGGTTCTTGGTGTCTAAACTGAGTCAGGGGAGCAGTGGAAATCTCAGGAAGCTGTCAGAAGAGGATAACATGGGTCAGCCAGGGTGGCATCGCAACAGCTCGATCTTCCACAGTGTTGAAGGCCCATGGGAAGGGCTTGGGTGGCACCCCAAGGTTTCCCTTTACATGCCAGCAGCATGAGCCTGTCCATAGTCCTTACCAGCTGAGGCCAGCGCTGTACTTGGTGCGAAGATCCTCCTGGGTATGTTTCTGTTCTGTCTCTTTCTTTCTTGTATGGAAGAAATGAGTAAACAAACTTGTAAAAAAAAAAAAAGGAAAGAAAGAAAAGGAGGTGGGAATGGCACAGATCAGTCGGGGATGCAGAGCTGTTGATGAGATCAAAGAACTGGCATGGTGGAAGTAATAGAGGTTGCTATCGGAGAGCAGTATACTTAGATTCAAGTTTTCCAAAGTGTAGCAGATCTTGGTAAAACACGGTCTGGATTTGACCATGAGTACTGTCTGAAAGATTCTGAAATGATATCCGTAGGATAAAAGGTAGTGTGATTGAGCCAGCTAATGGACTGGGAGCCTGAGCTGGGGGCGGGCCATGAGCATCAGTCACCCCAGATGATGACAAGCAGTGGGGTAAAGAACAATACTAGGATCCACGTGTTCATTAAGTGGGAACGTGTCCTAGAAGTCAGTAGGTGGCAGCTACAGGGAAGAGAAGAGGTCGATACCAGCCTCATAGGAGCAGAGCTTTGTGCTTATGGGTAAAGAAATTATAGTCAAGGAACAGCAGTGAAAGCAGAGGCTGCCAACCCCACCTCCAGACCCTGAAGGCTCTGGGTGAAAGAATTAGCAGCCTCTACTTCCAAAGGCTCCAGGGCAATTAGAATCCAGAGAGGAGACCCTGGTTTCAGTTGAAAAAGTAGTAAGGAGGAAAGGTTCAGTGCAAGGACTGAGAACCCAGGATGCTTGAGAGCCACAAAAGGGCTCCAGAAAGGCCCTATGGGTGTGGGAGGAAGGGAAGAAGCAGACTGGATCAGGGGAGAGAAACACAGCAGTGCATGGACAAAAGGGAGAGGATGGCTGGCTGGAGGGGCTTCCGTCTGGGGCTGCGACTGTGAGATAAGGACACCTGATGTGTCAGATTTAAGCTGGCCAAGTATGTCCCATTATCACTAAACAAATCTTTATGAAGTGTCTGCCCCATGACAGCCATTGTTCTGTGCTTAGGCTACATCAGTGAGCAAAGACCCGTGCCCTCACTGTCTACCAAGGCAAGACAATGAAGAGTAAGAATAGTAGTATTCCGCATGGACATAGTGTATTCAAACACAATCAGTGCTGCGGAAGAAAAAGAAGAAACAGAGCAGGTTAAGCAGATTTGGAAGTATCAGGGATGGTGTGGTGGGAGAAAGTCGTAGGGTTTTAAAAAGTGGCCTAGGCAGCATTTGACACACAAGGCCGAAAGGGAGTGAGACTGCTGGCACTGCAGGAGAGTTCCATGCGGAGAAGCAACCACGGAAAGATCTTAAATTCTGGATCCAGGCAGGGTGAAGAAATAACGGGGAGGCTGAAGCAGCTAGAGCTGCATATCCCAGGGGGAGAGCAGTAGTAAATAAACCAGGATGATTGAGGTGGGCAAGACTGCAGATCGAATAGTAGGGCCTCGTAGATCATGTTAATAGTTTTGACTTTTTTCCTGAGCGAAATAGGAAAGCAGCACAAGAATTTTGAGCAGAGGAATGGCAAAATATGGTTGTTTTCATAGAATCACTCTAGCTACTACCTTGTTGAGCACAGAGGCCAGTTAGAAAACTTGGGACCAGCAGATGGCATAATGGTTACGTCTCTGGATTCCCATGTAGTCGACAATGGTTCAAGTTCCAGATCCAGAGACTTAAAAAAGTCATGCCAGGCATGTGTATGTATGTGCCCAAGATCCTAAGAGGAGAAGAAGAAGAGACTATGGTGTGGCCATCCCCCGGGAGATGATTTCTCACTTTCTGTCTGTCTTTCTGGAGAGTGCACACACCCTATAGTAAAAATCTTTCTCTAAAAAAAAAGAAAAGAAAACTGTCAATTGCGGACCAGCAGGTGGTGTGGTGGTGAAAGCACTGAACTACCACATGACTGACTGTGGTTCGAGTCCCAGACCTGGCTGCTTGCTTTCTCACTCCCCCCGCCCCTGTCCCTTGCTGGTGAGCACATGTGTCTTATAGCAACTTATAATAATAAATAAATAAATGGTGTTAAATTAATAATTCTTCTAAAACGCAAGAGAGAAAGAAGACTGTCGATTGTCTTAGGCTGTGGTGGTGAGAGTGGAAGTACCAATGGAGTTAGTCCAACAAAATGTCTAACGGGTAGAGGAGAGCATCTAGGCCCTTTAAGAAATAGGTGTGGGGACCAGCAGATGGTGAAATGATTGCATTGCTGTACTACCATGTAGTCGACTGTGGTTCGAGTTCTGGACCTGGCAGCTTAGAACTCACGCTGGACACGTGTGTGTGCATGCCCAAAATCCTAAGAGGAGAGTGGAAAAGAAGAGATTGCAGTGTGGCCATCCCCCTGGGGGGGGGATTTCTTGGTTTCTGTCTCCCCATTTCTCTGGTGAGTGTATGTACCCTATAACCAAAACCTCTCTTTAAAAAAAAGAAAGAGAGATAGGTGTGGTCTGTGTAGTTACAAAAGCTCGGGGAATGGTGGCAAGACAGTAGGTTGTGGTGGAGTGGTTTGAGAACCAGTCAATTATTGCAAGAATTATTTATGGAAATGGATTTGACTTGATCTGCCCAAGGACACTATAAGACAATCTAAACTTTCTGAGGTTGGTTGGCCCAGCCCGTCGTGGTTAGAAGCCTGTTCGTGTTCTGCTAGGTGTTTTGTGGCTCAGCAGTATCTGTGGGTTAATCTGCACCTAGCATATAGAGGCTGGCTGTACAAGACTCTCCAGGGCAGACTTTCTGGGTGTCACACCTTCACACAATCTGGAAAACTTGTAGAGAATCTGGGAGTGAGACTGCTGGCACTGCAGGAGAGTTCCATGCGGAGAAGCAACCACGGAAAGATCTTAAATTCTGGATCCAGGCAGGGTGAAGAAATAACAGGGAGGCTGAAGCAGCTAGAGCTGCATATCCCAGGGGGAGAGCAGTAGTAAATAAACCAGGATGATTGAGGTGGGCAAGACTGCAGATCGAATAGTAGGGCCTCGTAGATCATGTTAATAGTTTTGACTTTTTTCCTGAGCGAAATAGGAAAGCAGCACAAGAATTTTGAGCAGAGGAATGGCAAAATATGGTTGTT